GGAAGAGAAGTTGCTTAATATGATTGGTAAGTTTGGGGAAAATAAACTGGGCATCCTCAATTCAGCTCCGTCTTCACTTTTTCTCCTGAGAGCAGCCTTGCTTTCATAGAGCAGTTTTCTTCTGAAACTCAGTGACAGAGTTTCTACTGTTTCTCTGTGACATGGTGATTTTGTTCACCTACTTAGCTCTATCTTCTGTAAGGGTCCAGCAAACGTTGGAGGAAGAGACCACCAAGAGACTGGCTCATGCAACAGCAAAAGGGGATTTATTGAGGATCCAATCCAGTGCACTGGGGCTCCAGGCTCACTCAACAAGGGAGAGCGGCCAAGAGCCCCCAGCAGGGGTTGAGCAGTGCTTAAGTACACTTTTTTAGGGAGGGCAGGAACTTTACATACGTCATGGTCCCCTTTAACAAATCATCATACACCACAGGAAAATCAAACAACAATTCTTAAACATGATTAGCACATTCATTGGCGGGAACAGGTCAGGCGGGAGTGATAGGTCAGTCCTAAGGAGGGGATACATTCAAACTGATTGGTTTGGGCCCTGAATGCCTATGTGCCAAACTGCACAGGGTCCAGGTTATTTAACAACTAAATGGTCAGTACCGGGCATTGTCTTAACTGCCTCAGGAATTTCAGGTTCTGTGTGCAGTTCAGAAACTTTACAATACCTAGTCCTTTACATTTTAACTCAGGCTTTGCAGCTTAGAAACTTTACCCTTTCACTTCCAGCTTAGCCTTTATTAATAATGAGGTTAATAACTTAGCCTCTAAATCATTCTTTTATATATATTTTTTTTCTCAAATCCTTCAAAAACTTCAGGGGTGTAGAAAGGAAGAGGGGCCGTTCTTGTAGACCCTAGGGAATACTTTAATAGATAATATTTCAGGTAGCTTTTACTATGACTATGACAGTTGTTATAGAGGCCCACATTCCTCTGGAACTTTGCTACACAAAGAATGGTACAGGCACCAGGTGCATTGGTATCAAGATAGTACTCTGAGAAATGAAGAATATTGCTTCTGACCCCAGACTTGAGGAATTAGAATATGAATTTTAAATGATCCCCATTTACAGATTCAAGTGCACATTAATATTTGAGAAGCACTGCCCTAGATGTCTCATCCCTAGAGAACAGGTACATACAATGGCCTTTTATCTCTTTCAGCACTTAACACACTTCCTTTGCCATAAGATTTTAATAACTTGTTAACTTGAGTTTCTAGAAACAAATTTTAAAAACTAAAAATGCATTCATACTTTATTTTTAATTTTCTTATTGAGATAAAATTCATACAATATAAAAGTCACCATTTTAACCATTTTTAAGTGTACAGTTCAGTAGTATTTAATATGTTCACAATATTGTGAAAATATCACTACAATCTAATTCCAGAATGTTCCCAACATCCCCAAAAGAAACCCTGTACCTTTCAATATTCCTTTCCCCCACCTCCTGGTAACCTCTTCTCTCTGTTTCTATAGATTCACTTTTTTTGTACGTTTCATATAAATGGAATTATACATGAATTAGCCTCCCTTTTGTGACTTCTTTCATTTACTATATTGTTTTCAGGGTTCATCCATGAACTTTACATTTTATTTATCCACTCACCAGTTGGTGGTAATCTGGTTTGTATCCACTGAATGTTGACACTGTGAATATTTACATATAATTTTTTTGTGAGACCATCTTTTCAAAATTCTTTTGGGTACATTCCTAGGCCATATAGTTGCTCTGTTTAACTTTGAGAAACTGCATGACTGTTTTAAGCAGCAGCTGCACCATTTTACATCCCAACTGGCAATATATAAGTATTATAATTCTCTATATCCTAACCAACTCTTGTTATTTTCCATTTCGAAAAAATTAGACCCATTTGTATCAGCCTTCTATGTAACAGGATACCTGAGATAATCCAATTCTACATGGGAAAAGTTCATTTTGACCCCCAGTTTCAAAGGTTTCAGTGGATGTCTGGCCCCATTGCTTTTGGGCATATGGCAAGGCAAAAGGCATCATAGTGGGTGGGTGTGGCACAAGAAGCCCATTCACCTTATGGCTAGGGTGCAAAGAGACAGGAAAAGACCAGAGTCCTGCAATTCCCTTTAAATGTACACTCCCAATGATGTGAAACCTTTCACCTCTTAATGCTTCTATCACCTCCTAATCACATCACAGGCTGGGGACCAAACTTTTAACACGTGGACCTTTGGAGGACATTCTAGCTCTAAAGCACAACATTACTCTAGTGGGTGGAAAATGATACCTCATTGTTGTTTTGCTTTGTATTTCCCCAAAGACTAATGATTTTGAGCATCTATTTCTAAATTATGTTATCTGTCTATTGTTGAGTGGCAGTAGTTCTTTACATATCTGGATACTAGACATTTAGCTAATATGTTTTGCAAATACTTTTTTAATTTTTTAGTTGTAGTTGGACACAATACCTTTATTTATTTATTTTTATGTGGTGCTGAGGATTGAACCCAGGGCCTTGCACTTGCTAGGCGAGTGCTCTGCCACCGAGTCACAACCCCAGCACATGTTTTGCAAATATTCTCTCCTGTTCTATTGGTTGTCTTTTTACTCCATTGACAGTATTCATTTTTATTAACTTTAAATTTTTGATTAACACATAATAATTGTACATATTTATGAGGGGCAAGGTGCTATTTCAATTCTTATATGTGGTGTAATAATCAAATCAGGGTAATGACTGGATAAAGAAAATATAGTAGATCTGGGCTTGGTGGTGAACACTTGTAATCCTAGTTACAAGTGTTATGGCAAGAGGATCTCAAATTCAAAGCCAGCCTCAGTAATTTAATGAATCTCTAAGCAACTTAGTGAGACCCTGTCTCAAAATTAAAAAATAAATCAGGGCCAGATAGGTGGCTCAGTGTTTAAGTGTCTCTGGGTTTAAATCCTGGTACTAAAAAAAAAAAAAAAAAAAGAAAGAAAGAAAGAAAAAAGAAAAAGAAAATGTAGTAGATGTGGACAATGGAACAATGGAATTCTATGTAGTCATGTTACCCAAAACTTGGTCCTTGTCCCCAGTGCTGATTCAATAATAGGCACATGGTTTTGAGAAAAAGGCAAGAGAAAATTTATTGTTTTGATCTCGAAGGGAGAAGTAGGGGGCACTCCTGTCCCAAAGGCTGTGTTTCTCCCCATCAGGGAGAACAGAGGGTTAATAAAGAAGTGGTTCATTCCAGGTGTTCCCTGTTGGGGGTTGTGATTCACTTGTTAATTTGGGATTTAGCCATTCCTTAGATTTTTTGGTGTCATCCCTAAAGACTGAATGACTTGGTACTCAGATAACTCTGCCTAGTACAGGGAAAAGATTCCTGCATCCTCTCCCACGTTAGGGAGGGAAGATGGAGAAGAGAAAAAAAAAAACAAGTCCATTTTAAAATAAGCCTCCTTGGCAGAGCAGCAAGGGCTCCACATGAGGTAGACTGCCATTACAGTGACAAAATCAGATAAAATTCTGTCCTTTGCAACAACATGGATGGACTTGGAGGCCATTGTTGGTAAAATAAGTCAGGCACTGAGACACTATTACTGCTTGATCTCATGTGGAATCAAAAAAAAATTCGAACTTATAGAAATTGAGTAGAAGAGTGGTTACTAGAGACTGAGGAGAGTAAGAAAGGGATAGAGAGAGCTTGCGAGTATATTTCATTTTAGAATTTTGATGAAATAAAAATGATCCAGTTTTTCTGTTTAGCTTATGCTTTTGGTGTCATATGTAAGTCACCAAGGCTTAATCCAAGGTCATAAAGATTTAGTCCTTTGTTTCCTTCTAAGAGTTTTATCATTTTAGTGCTACATTTAGGTCCTTCATTCATTCTGAGCTAATTTTTGTATATGATGAAAAAAGGGGTCCAACATCTTTCCTGTACAAGTGGATAGACAGTTGTCCTTACACCATTTGTTGAGGAAAATATTTCCCCTTGAATGGTCTTGATATTTTTGTTGAAAATCAATTCACCAAAAATATATATTGATTTATTTCTGGGTCCCCGATTTTATTGCACATATATACTTATATCAATACCATACTCTTTGAATATTGTTGATTTGTAGTAAGTCTTGAAATTGTGAATACTCTGATTTTGCTCCTCTTTTTAAAGATTTTTGGTCACTCTGGGTCCCTTGCAATTCCAAATTAATTTTAGATATCATCTTATAAATTTCTGGGGTAAAAAGCATTTGTAAATTTGATATAGATTGCATGAATTCTGTAGGTCAATCTGAGTATTGCTAACTTAACAATACTAAATGTTTTAATCCATGAGCAAAGATGTCTCTCCATTTATTTAGGCATTCTTTAATTTTATTCAACAATGTTTTGTAGTTTTCAGCTTACATGTGTTTCATTAACTTTTTAAGTACTAGGAATTGAACCCAGGTGTTCTCTACCACCGAGCCACATCCCCAGCCTTTTTTATTTTTTGAGATAGGGTCTTAACTAAATTGCCCAGGCTAACCTAGACTTGCGATTGTCCTGTCTCAGCATCCAGAGTCACTGGGATTATAGATCTGCAGCACTATGCCTGGCTCCTGTTTTATTAATTTAGATACTGTTGTAATACTATAGTATTGTCTTCTTAATTACATTGTTTTATTGTTCGTAACTAGTATATAGGAGACTGGGGATATAGCTCAGTTGCACAAGGCCCTGGGTTCAATCCCTAGCACCACAAAAAAAATCATAACTAGTATTTAGGAATACAACTAAATTTACTATATAGTATAGATCTTGTCTCCCACAACTTTGCTCACTTTATTTATTAACTCTCATAATTTTTTTCTCTCATAATTTTTATTTGGATTTTTCAAGGTTTTCCATATTTAAGACAATGTCATCTGCAATAGAGAGAGTTTTACTTCGTCATTTGTTTCTTTTTTCTTTCTTTTTTCCCCCTAATTTTAGCTAGAATTTCCAGTACAATGTTAAAAGAAAGTGACAACAATAGTTGGACTGGGGATATGGCTCAGTGGTAGAGTGCTTGCCTAGCATGCATGAGGCCCTGGGTTTAATTCCCAGCACCACCAAACAAAACCAAACAAAACATACAAACAAAAACTATGATTATCCTTGCTTTATTTCCAACCTTATTCTGTAACCGAAAGCTCAGTCCCTGTCCCCAATGCCAATCAATGCCAATTTAATAATGAGGACATGGTTTTGAGAAAAAGGATAAAGAAGGTTTATTGTTTTGCTCGCAAAGAAGAAACCCAGAAGACTCAGGTCCCAAAGGCTGTGACTCTCCCCAAAGGGGGGGCGGTGCGGGGAATGGGGAGGAGTTTAAAGGAGCTTCAAGGGTTACTTTCCAGATGTGCTCAGGTAGGGGGTCCCAGGGCACCCTGATGGTGTGCTAGTGTTCACTTATTAATTTGGGAAATATTCACTTTCTAGATCCTCAGCAGGCATCTCCTTCCTGTAGTGAGTGTGTTCTGGGGGCAATTAACTAAGGGAAGAAAAGATAACACCGTCTCCCTAATCTTGTTAGGGAGGGGGAAAAGGGAGAAGAAAGGAAAAAAAAAATAAACCTTAGAGCAATGAAGGCTTATTCAGAAGGTGAAGGGACCAGTGTTACAATTCTTTTGTTTTTTTTTTTAAGAGAGAGAGAAGAGAGAGAGAGAGAGAGAGAGAGAGAGAGAGAGAGAGAGAGAGAATTTTTAATATTTATTTATTTATTTTTAAGTTTTCGGTGGACACAACATCTTTATTTTATTTTTATGTGATGCTGAGGATCGAACCCAGCGCCCTGCACAAGCCAGGTGGAGCGTGTTACCGCTTGAGCCACATCCCCAGCCCCAGTGTTACAATTCTTGATCTTAAGGAAGTTATTTCAGACTTTTGATATTAAGTATGACCTTAGGCATGGCTTTTTTAGAGATGGCCTTGATTAAATTGAGTGTTTTTTTCTGTACTTCTAGTTTGCTAAGTTTTTTTTTTTTCTTGTCCTAGAGATTGAACCCAGCAGCACTTAACCACTGAGACACATCTCCTTAGCCCTTTTAAAAATATATTTTATTTATAGACAGGGTCTTGCTGATTTGTTTAGGGCCTTGCTAAATTGCTGAGGTTGGCTTTGAACTCAAGATCCTTCTGTGGGGATTACAGCACTAAGTGTTTTTTTTTTTTTTAAATCATGAAAGGGTGTTGAATTTTGTCAAACGCTATTTTTATGTCTATTTAAGTGAACACACAGATTTTCCCATTCAATTAATGTGATGTATTACATTGATTACATTTCTTTATGTTCAGTCATCCTTGCATTCCTGAAATAAATCCCACTTGGTAGTGTCATTTAATGCTTCGAATGTTCTGCTGTATTCAAATTGCTAATACTTTTGTTGAAGTTTTTTATGTATATACATAAGGGATATGAGGTTGTAGCTTTTGTTTTTTTGTCTTATGATGTCCCTAGTATGGTATCAAGGTAATACTCATGATATTTAGTAATTGTTTCTTCCTATTTATTTTTCATTTTTGGAAGCATTTGAGGAGTAGTGTTAACTCTTTCTTTTAACATTTGGTGAAATTCACCAGTAAAGCCATTTGGTCCTGAACTTTTCTCTGCTGGAAGTTTTATGATTATTAATTCAACTTCCTTACTTGTTTTGTATCCACATTTTGTTTCTTTGGAATTAGATTTGGTAATTTGTGCATTTCTGAGAATTTGTCCATTCTACTTATGTTTTCTAATATTTTGACATACAATTGTTCATATCATTCTCTTATGATCCTTTCTATTTCTGTGATGTCCCTTCTTTCATTCCTGACTTCTGCCTTGCTGATTTCAAGATTATCTCTTCATCTTCTAATAGTTTGATTATGGAGTATGTAAGTGTAAACCTCTTTAAGCATATCATATTTAGATTTTGTTGAGCATCTTGAATATGTAAAGTAATATTTTTCATTAAATTTAGAAAGTTTTGAGACATTATTTCTTCTAATATTCCTGTGGTATCCATTAGGAATTTGTTCCAAGACTCCCTGCAGATACCAAAATCTGCAGATGCTCAAGTTTCTTATATAAAATGCCATAGTGTATTTTATATAAGCCATGTGACCCTCCAATATACTTTAAACCATCTCTGTATTATTTATAATTCACAATACAATATAAATTGTATGTAAATAGTTATTATACTGTATTGTTTAGGAGAAAATGACAAGAAAAATGTCTATGCATGTTCAGTACAGGTATACATTTATTTTTTAAAATATTTTTGATCCATAGTTGGTTGAATCTATAGATACAGAACTATTAGATATGGAGGACCAACTATATCTAATTCCCAACCTTTTCTCCCAATCATTTTATTAGCATATTGTCACCCCCAGCTGTAACCCATTGCCTCAGGTTGCAATGTGTAAATTTTTGAAGCAACATACCTCAGAAGATGGCTTTAGTACTGGGTGAGTTAGTGCTGGGTAGTTTGGAGTTAAAGCAAATCCTTTCAATCAATCTTCCCAGCAAACCACCAGGCAGATCAATCAAGACCAATATATGCAAATAAGGTGCATTCTGCTTCTTCAGTGCCAGTCTTTGGAGTACAGGTGTTATTGTTAAGGCTCCTGTTGAGCTGTAGAGCAAAAGATGGGACTAGTGTAAGTTAAAACAGCACAAAGCTCACTATAATTATAAAGTTTCAGCTGAATTTCTTGAATAAGTGCTCTCTAGGCTGTTGCAACTTTTGTTAAATTTCAAAGTTCCAAAAATACTGACTCTCACCTTTCATATTTTTAGTTGCTTTTATTGAAGGGTTGACTTTTGGAGTTGCTTACACTCCTGCCTTTGCTAACACTATCCTTCTGCAACACATATTTTAATCAGAATGCCATATCAAGTACATAGAAACACAAATACAGTTAAAGATCAACAGTTTGTTTTCAAAATTGTCTCTTCAAATTCTCTTTTTCTTATGAGAAAATATCTTGCTCAGATTTCTTAAGAAAATGAAATATGATTCATATTGTGATTCAGATTTTATGTTGCAAATCTGCACATGGGCAAACACATCTCTGAAGATATACACTGAGTGCTAAAGTTGCTTCATCACTAAGAAGATATCACAGCACTTTGGTATCCACTTGAGTTTTGGATGCTATTGGTCTAAGAGGAAGAGTGGTCAAATGCTTCTCTCTTTTTTGTCCTTCTCTCCCCATTCAATAGTTGTCTAGTTACTGGGGGTGGGAAAGATTAGGAAAAAGGGCAGAGTCTTAAATTTTGGGTACAGTTGCCCTCTGATTAGGATTCTCTCTAGATATGGCCTATATACAATTGCTAGCACTCTCCTTCCTAAGAATCCATGTGGGTTTTGCAGAGACTGCTATCTGCAGCTATTTGGTAAGAAGTTTCCATTTCAAATGCTTAGCATCCACAATGGTTTTCATGACTAATATCGTAATTGAACAAATATTGCTTGCGATTACCATGGACAGTCCTCTACTTATGATGGTATGACTCATAATTTTTCAACTTTATACATAAGTAACACATATTCTGTGGAAACAAAAAGTTTGAATTTGAATCATCACCCAAGCTACTGATATGCAGTATGATCTTCCCATGATGTTGAATGGTAGCAGCAAGTTGCAGCTCCTGATCAGTCACATGATCACAAGGGGAAACCACCAACACTCTGCAGTGTGCTGTGTTGCTAAGCTAGGAAGGGTCGTAAGTTAGGTAGAATTGAATGCATTTCTGACACAATGTTTTCAACTTATGATGGGTTTATCAGGACATATGCTCATCATAAGTTAAGAAGCATTTGTCCTTTCCTCTGAGTTAATAAAATAAGTAAATTAGTGGTGCGATTCTTGACACCTTATAGTTACATTTTTCTGACATTTGTTTTCTTTTTTTAATATATTTTTTAGTTGTAGGTGAATACAATACCTTTATTTTATTTTATTTTTATATGGTGTTGAGGATCAAACCCAATGCCTCACATGTGCTAGGCAAGCAGTCTACCACTGAGCCACAATCCCAGCCCCTGCCATTTATTTTCTTAACAGCACATTCAGTACAACAGTTCACATCATTGGAAATTAATCCACACACCAAAATTGGAAATAACAAAACTTTATCTTTTTCAATATTTCATTTGAAGACATTTACATAGTTTAAAATATATCTCTGCTATGTAGCTACAGTGTAAGGAAGAGAGTATTTGGGATTCTAACTCTTAGATGTTCTTGTAATCATCCACTGTGTGTTTGATATCCTGGATCACAGTTCTAATTCTAAGAAAATCCCTTAAATGATAAGCACACAATTAAAAAAGAGAAGAACAAGAGTCCTAGTTTTAAAACCAGGTGAAATCATATAGCCAGAGGTAAGTAAACAATGACCCACAGGCCAAATCTAGTCCTCTACATGTGTGTGTGTATGGCCTGTGAGCTAAGGATTTTTTAGGCATTTTAGCTTTAAACAATGCTCATAGGTATTTGTAGAGATTGTGGTACCTCAAGTTGTCTTAAAATTGCCATATGTCCGTCCCTTGTCCAGGACACTGCTCCTTCCAAACCCATGCCCCTATTCACATGACATGAGGCAAAGTTGTGATTTGGGCTTACATGTTGAATGGTGATACAGAAACTCATAGAATTATTTTTTGAGTGTGACTATCTGCCATCTGATCTATGTTCTACAATTAATAAAGTTTATTGAACACAAACATCAAAACATTAAAAAATTATGAAAAAAATTAAAACAAGAATAATACTTCATGAATGTGAAAATTATATGTACTTCAAATTTCAATGCCCATAGATAGAATGCTAATGAGACACAGCCACCATTTGTTTACTGTTGCCTATGGGTATTTTTGTGGTACAATGGCAGAGCTGAGTTGTTGTGACGGAGACCGTGTGGCCCTCCAAAGCTTAAAATATTTGCTGTCTAGCCCTTAAGAGGAAACATTTGTTAATTTTTTTAAATATTTATTTTTTAGTTATAGGTGGACAGAATATCTTCATTTTTATTTTTATGTGGTGCTAAGGATCGAACCCAGCACCTCACACATGGTAGGCAAGT